TACTGGATGGCAATTACCCTGTGGTCGGGATATGTTTATTTGAAGCCAGTAGAGCCGTTCAGATATTATTTTCTTCCATAAAGCAAAGAGTCACATTAATACAGTTAATGAGCAGCAGTGGCGCAGAGAGAACATGTAAGACGTTTCAACATCCTACATTCAGTCTGCCCCTCCTTAATAAATTAATATATTATAAAGTGTCAGATGTCCTTCCGTGGAAACTAAACTTAACTGAAAGGAAAGCATGTGAGCAGTGAGAGTTTCCACTAAATATTGCTCCACGCTCAACTCAGATTTCACCCTATTTTAGATGTTGTTCACTGAATCTGTTCTTACTTTTACTGTGATTGCACACATGATTCCTATATTCAGGTGATTATACACTAATGAACACATACATATGAATGTTATATTACATTTCTGCCACTAGATCCTCCGCAATGTTACACACTGGACCTTTAACATATGTATAACTTTAGCAAGATAATGCGAAAACGAAAAAAGATGCATGAAAACATATTGTTCAGGAAATACTACTTTTTTGTGCATTAATGTAATAACATAATAAATGATATGCTCAGTCGCAGTATGTAAATTACATAAGCTCTCTGTGAGCAAGTAGAAGTCCGAGCAGAGCGAACACAGCTGCAGCTCTTCATGTTTGACTGAGGTGGGTCAGTTAAGCTTGCCGTCAGCGCCTGTCCACTAAATCAACATTATTAATGTAATCAGCTGTTCAATCTGTCGTTAAACTCCTCTGAGAGGCAGAGAGCTCCAAACACCTGAGACAGAAGAACAGGGTAACATGTAAGGCAGTGGTTCCCAACCTTTATCCTTAAGGGACCGACCGTTTTCCATATTCTATTAACCTCAGTGACATATTTTATGCGATATTTTCATATTATATTCAGAAACTGCTACAATGAACCCAAACAGTGAACTCAGTAATTGCAGGAAGTTTGTGTAAAACAAGTGATTTGGAAGAATTTTGAGAAATTGTCCCTTGAGCTTGGGATCCTGATTCCTGTTAGAAAATATAATTTACTTTACATTTTACTTTTTCTTCACAGAAGTGAACCAAATGCTGAGATTTTTAGGCTTACGGTTATATTCCTATTTTAAATGTTCTTACATGCCTGCTGTAAGAAGGTCAGAGGAGCGATGACTCCCACAGAAGGAGCCCACCTCTTGACGATCCTCAATGCTTATTTGTAAATTATAAAACCATGTTTACATGACAGTTTCCCCATCTGCTGAACAAGTAATGTAACAGTAGCCAGAAGAGCATCCAAAGAAATCATTTAAAAAAAAAAGAGCAGTTAATTTAGAAATCTTTAATTTAGAAAGAATTTAATCCAGGTGGTGATAAACGAAGCAGAAGCGTGCCTGTCTGCTATGCAAAAATCACTGGAAAAGCTACTGGACGTGAGCCTTGGGCATGTTAGTAAGTTACTACTGCATATTGCAAGCTGATGTTGACCGAATCCGTTACCGAAAAGGACAATGTGGGGCTCGCCGCCGGATGTTAATGGGCGTCCCATAGCAGCGTCTGGGGGCCAGGCTGAAAGTAGGATACCCCCTATTTGGAAGACGAAAACGTTGGGCCCCTTCGGCAAATAGTGGAGAGAAATGTCAAGAGTGTTCGGTGCTTGAGGCGGCCGCCAGCAAGATGCCAAGTTTCGGGAACCATGACGCCAGAATTCTCCTTCCTGGTTGGTTTGAAACGAGAAGTTGGAAGAGGCGCCCCCTAACCCGGAGTATGTGTGACGCAAGCATCATTTCGTCCGAGGCTGCTGGGCGTGGCCGGTGACCAAAAGCACAACTACGAGCGTGCATCCGGGTCCGGCGGAGCCAGTGGTTGGACTGAAAGATCGGGCCTCACGCGAGACCTATTGTCGCCCATTCGCGTTCTTGTGGCTTCTTGGAGAAGGAGAAAGTGTTCGCCTGCCGGAACGAGAAGTATAGGGGAAGGGCCAAGGAGGTGGAGTCGGAAAGGGTGTAAGCTTTCTTTTTTCCCAAGACCTCCACCGGGAGTGGGCCGGAGAAGAGGAAAAGTTTTCGGAGGTGAGGGGAAAAGGTTGGCACTCCTCCTGGACGTGGCGGGTTTACTGTGGCAGCCACCCCCGGGGCACAAATGCGGCTTCACCCTGGAAACGGAAGAGCGATCAGGATTCTGATGACCACCCACAAAGCATGGCATTTCTGAATAAAGAGGTGCTGGCTCACACCGGCCGCCCGCGCAGTGCATGGAGAAGAGCCAAGAATACCAATATGCGCCAAATGGATAACGGACTGTTGCAGCAGGCGTGCCCGATGATGGATATAGAGCTACCGTGGTCTTGTTTTTACCTGTGCTTGCCCCACAAGAATAGACCAGAGTCTATGCCCCATATATATGTGGCATGCAGACCAAGTGGGTTTCTGTTAAGGGGGCGCTCTTGCATCAGATAATGTAGGCGGTTGTTACATCTTATGTGGCAAGGTCGTGATGCGGACACGCCCACCGCGCAGGCCTCTCCCGTTGGCCAAAAAACGCGTATGAGCAGAGTAAGAAGCTGGCTTACCTTTTTTATACATTTGAGGGTGTTTGATTTGGAAGGGATTTCCATTAAATGGATAAGATTGATTCTACTTGTCCCTAAGGGCATCTGTTCTAACCTAATGGCCCCTGAAATCTCCCTTCCTTTGGCCTCATGAGAGGCCAGAAACAGGGGGATCCGCTGCTCCCCTTTCCTGGAACATTAGCTGTAGCTTAGAGCAGATACAGGTATTAAAGGGGTCGGCGTGTGGGGTGGTGGGGGAAGAGACATAAGTTGTTTTTATTGCGGAATGATATTTGCTGCTTATTTCGGACCCCGGGCTAATTCTACTTCCGCATAATCCTAAATAAGATTGAAGCCCTGTTTTCCTCGAATATCTTGGTATAAAATTAATTGGCCAGAAATCGGGGTGATGCCTGTATCGTAGGGTCTTGCTCCTCAGTCAGAGACGCTCTAACTTTCAATTTGATGGATGGTGAAGTACCGCTGGGATTGAAAATTAACGCTGATCTGTCTGATATAGATAGAAATTTAATTCAAGAGATGAAAATAATCTGGAAAGATGGAAGATGAATTAATCTCACCCTTGTGGGGGCAAAATTAATACCTATTACAGATGGTGATAGCACCACAATTTAATTATATACGGTCAATGATGCTGCCAGTAATTATTCCTAGTGGCATAATACAGAACAAATATATATCAAATGGTTAAAAGATTAATTTGTGGAATGGGAAAAAGCCAAGGATTTATATTAAAAAGTTATGTACTACTAAGGGAAAATGGGGCCCTTGGCCGCTTCCAGAATGTAGAAAATATCATAATTTAGCTTTTAAAATTGGCTAAGCGCTGGTGAGGCATCCGGGCCCCTAACTATGGTTCTCAACCGGAATTGGATAATAGGATAGAAATGGCCATGGTGGCTCCTCGCAAGACCATACAGGCTCTCTCTCAGATTAAGGTGTAGAGGGTGATCCATTCTGAAGCACTCTCAATGGTGTGGTCGGAGTGCATAGGTTGATGGGGAAATCACAATACAAGCAGGGGGTTTCTTTCCATATAGGATAGACCCACGTATCGTGATAGGTAAAACAATCTTTTGTTGGGACTCCCTGGCCGAGGAAAGGTATATGTGTGATGATGATCTATATAAGAAGATGGCAGTCTTTAAGTATTAACAAGAGCTACTGGATCAATTTCTTTTTGGAGGGAAGGGGTGAATTTTGGAAATATGCTACCAACTAAGGAGGCAGTGTGCGAAGTGTGTTCCCCCTTAACGGAAGTATAGAGGAATCTAATTATGTTGCAAAACTTTTTGATTTGGCCAAACCTTCAATGCAATAGTGCTTCAATTTTTAACAAAAAATATAATGGAATTACAAAGTGTGAATACTGAGAATCTTAGATTAATATGGCAAGAGACCTTTAGAAGTGAAATAAGGTAAGG